CTGGCTGTATCTAATCTTTTTGTTATCATCACATCAACCTTTTTTTTTTAAGGCGGGAATTTATCGAATGACTTCTCCCGCCTAGGTGAGGCGGAAGGGAGTGTTAGACTTTTACTGACTAAAAACCACCCCGTCCCTACTCCTGCACTTCGAGCCGGAGTCCCGGTAACCCGTTAAGTCCTTCGCGGCTCCGTATCAACATCAGCCCTATTGGGCCCCATCCGTGGTGATCTGATGGCTATTTGAGGTGCACGCAGAACGCGACGCGCCGTACGCGCGGGGTCACATCAGTCATAAGACGCCTACAACTTAGCATTCGGCTTTCACCCGATGATTTCCAGATAGCCCCTTGAAAGACCCAATCTGAAGACGAAAGTACAAAAGTGTGCAATTAAATAAATAAAGGTCATTTTCCATCAGTTTGATGACGATTCATCGTCCCTATTGGACCTAAAACTCATTGACATACAAAGAATTGAAATTAGTGAGGACAATTTCAAACCTTTTAAAACACTTCATCACAATGTTTCAGAGTTCAGAGACCTAACATTGTTCCTTGGTAGAGTGAGATGGATGTATCGCCGTCTCTGTCACGCAACAACGAGTATAGTTTGAGTTCTATTGAGCGGAAACTGTGAGGGTTTGAATTTAGAAGGTTTACTCATGTGGTTAGACAGATATCGAGGGAAAGGTCAATACTGGCTGAAATATTTTTAAGGAGACGTGTTTATTTGCAGTGCATACGCGAGGAATTGGAAGGAACATAGCATAGCATAGGGAATATTCTAGAAACGTAGTCCGAACTTAAAGAAACTGCATACTCAGATGATGGTTACGTATCTAGTCCTTAGTAACCAACTAATAAGGCGGTTTGATAAGTCAGTGACTTTTTGAATTTCCCGCGCAGTTATTCCAAATGCAACAGTGCTGCCGTCAACAGTCGTCTATTAGTGGGCAACTGTCATATTTCGAGCAAGCTACGTCATGCAGTTGGTGTTTGCATGGCTTGATAGCCATTCAAAGATGACAACCGCGTGAAATTTTAAGAAAATGGAAAATAAATGAATATTTTTTTAAACGTTGCCCCACACTAGGATTTTCCTGTGTCGTGGGTAAACATATAAATTCTCATACACATGACACCCAGATACGAAATAACAATTTGTGGATCACATAAAGTGTTGTTCAGTGCGGGAATCGCACTCGCGACACGCTGCACGGCAGCCAGCCCAGCCACCGCACCAGCACCAACAACATTTACCAAGATTTAAGTACCAACATAAACGAAACCTTTCACCCAACTTAACTAAGCATTCAGATACACAGCTCACATCAGCTACCAAACACGAAAGTGGGATTTCTGCGCCAACTTTGCTTTGGCATCCCCCACAAATGTGTTGAAACAATAGAAGTTTAGTACACTCCACAACTTGTTCAAATACCACCGGATTTGCATCCACTACGAAACGGTATTTAGTTCATAGGGCCTAATCCAAGTTTGCCTCCACACTAACGCGATTGAAACGTCACCGCGTTTCGACCTGTGATTGGTTGCTCCAAAATAACCAACCAATCAGAGGGCTATAAACGAGGTAGCTTTCAATAGCTGTAACAAATAAATAAACTTACAGTAGGTACTCTAAAGGATATCTATTGATTCAGAAACAAATGACTCGTGATTCGAGAGTGGGTACTTGAAATTTTGATACCATTGTCTTGTTTTTCAAGTACCCACATGTTCGTACAGATTTTTTTGTTTAGAACGGGTTTTTTGGTCGTTGAGGTTTTGGTAAGTTAGGTTTCATTTGATTGGATGCTTGAGAGAACAAAGCACTATAACTAACTACCTAAGTTGATTGATTGTGCTTGCAAGCACAGTTGTTTGAGTTGATTCTGACAATTTATTCGACAGCAAGTTTTTTAACATTTTGATGAGAATAAAAAAGCAACATTTTTCTGTTGAACAAAATAGGTAAGTATCCCCAATATTTAAAATGCCAATGGTTAAAATTAAACCATGATGGCATGATGGACATTCTTAAGCATTTCCGACACTGTCATGAAATTAAGGCAAATTAAACCATCACCATCAATTCAAAGAACCCCAAAATTAAACAAAGTAAAACACAAAGGTAAATAAGGCAAGCATTATTATCGTAATAACAGGAAAACAGCGAAAACATGGTCACACGCACGAAGCGCTTCGCTTCAAGCTTCCTTGTGCGTACAGCTAAAGAGTGGAATTCTTTGCAAGAGTCTGTATTTCCTGAAGGGTATAACGTAGGAGTTTTTAAGGCCCGAGTGAAAAGGTTGCTTATGGGACGACGTGCTCCATCGTAGACCGCATCATCGCTTACCACCAGGCGAGATAGTGGTCAAACGTCGCCCCATCAAATATATATAAAAAAAAGAAAACTTCTAACTTCTTATATCCTTAGTGACTAAAATAACCGGAGGAACAAAACACCTCCTAAAAAAAGCTACTAGCATCTAGCAAAAATAAGTGGTCGGTGGAAACATTAGAAAAACGTACATATTTTGTCCACGCATAAATCAAGTTATACAAAACCATTTTATCTTGGCCTCGCTTTGTATGATCGTTCCGCAAATTCGACGGCCAGTTTATACTGGTTGTGTGTAGTTTTATGTGTACCTGCCGCTTATCCGTCTACCCATCTCGTTTTCCCCGAAATAAACCCCCAGGAGTACGTCAGACTATTAAATTAAACATGGGACATAACAGGGAGATAAATAGCGTCGAGATGGACTGAAATTGGCTAAATTATTGCCTTTTATGTTCCATGTTTTTTGGTTATTTACCTTATTTTTTTTTGAAGGGAGTGTCGGACTTTTTAAACGATGTAGGTAAAGGTAAGGTAAGGTGTTCTTTTTAGAGACTTTTTTAACTCGTCGAGTACCGGTTTAGTAGACACAATTATAGAACAATAGGTTGCGGTCACCGGTGACCGCTTGGTGTTTGACAGTTTAAACTGTCAAACACCAAGCGGTTAAAACGGACAGTTAAAATGTACTTATATAGGTACATGAGATTTACACGACCCCTTTTTGCGTAATCGGTAAAATAGAATTCCAATCGCAACAGCGAAAAAGTACGTACCAATTTAAAACCTCTATGGATAGGTAACTGGAGAACAATATTTGCTTTCTATTCCGTTCGTTCGAAAAGAACGAATGAGTGAAGTTTTTACTCGAAACGCATCGCAACGGTTGATCAATTCATTTTAAAAAAGTTTTTACCTATCAATTTTTATTCTGTGACCGGATGACGGAAATGGAAGAGAAACATTGCTTGTCTTTGATGACCTATTTATACCCACAGTAACAGAATTATCATATAGACTTTATTCTCCGAAGGAGAGGGACAGCGAAGTACGGAAGCCAGCAGGTCATTCTTTTTCTATCAAATTACTCTATTATCTTTAACTATGATATTGACATAGAGTCGAAAATCGGATGAATAAAGACAGATGGGTGAAGATTGATCTGCAGGCCACTGTACTATCTTCCTCACATCCGCTGTGTAAGCAGGTAGGTACTTTTTTGATATCGGAGGAAAAAGCTAGGGAGTGAGAATCCTGAAGCCGATTTGGACTTAAGTACGGTATACAACTCTGAGGTGCAGCAACTCACTCGAATGTAGAAATTCTCCAACGCTACCAGAACAAAGAGTTAAGAACAATGCGCCATGTTTTACACGGAACATTGTAGTGCATAATTATTATATTGGAAATCCCAACAGTAAAGGAAGAAATAGAAAGGTCTTCTGTGGCCTATTAAAACGCCTTGAATGACACAGCAATTATCTAGCTACCGAGCTTATGAGTATAAACAACTGCCAGTACCGGCTGAAAAGAATACGATTAACATCAATATAAAAAAAAAACAAACAAAAAATACAAAAACAACATATAAATAAGTACATAATAACTATCATGAGACATACTAAATTAACTAAAAACGTGCGCATGAGTCGGTCGCCGCGACTGCGCACGCTGCTCATGAGGAAGAACCCCTCTGTGGTTCGAAACTAGTAGAGCTTTTCTCAGTATATTCACGTGAGTAACCCGCGATTTTAGTTTGACATTATAAGGAAGGTTTGTATGTATAATATGCATATTGCACCCGTGCGAAGCAGGGGTGGGTCACTAGTTAAAAATATACAGGTCAAATTGAGAACCCACTTTTTTGAAGTAAATGCTTTGACTTTATACTTATACAGAAACGACTAAAATAAATTGACGTCCAAAAAGCCAACTTCCTTATAACTACATTTTTGTAGAACAGTAATTTCTTCAGGCTACAGATACCTACACCACAGAAGCTTAAATGTTCAGTAAATAAAAAAAAAAACAAAAGGCAGTATGGGTGCTTGTCGCTGTCACTGCGAATCGGGGAACTGTATTGAAAATTAAATTAACGTCAAACGTCAACGGAGTTCCGAATGTTTTGTTACGAAACTTCTCTATATTGAAACGTAGATTTGTTTGTGACTTGTGACTGACAATATAGAAAAAAACTTCCAAAGTTTATTTTTTTTTATATTTTTGTTATTGGAATACTAAAAATGCAAATAGTAAAGCTCCTGATATTTTTGTTATGTTTACTTTAATAGTGTTTGTGAGCTTGCTATTTTTTTCTAGGAGGCACTGTCTTGATTTCATCTGATTAAAATTATAGGTATTATATCTATCAACGTAAATAAAACCACATCAAAAAAATAATCACAGTCATTTATTAAAATAATATTTTTCCTATTAAATTACTTACTTAACATTAGTATACTAAAATAAAATAAAAATGTATATCAGTAGGTACCTAGATCTAGGTACATAAACGTACAATGTATGAACATCAACATAATAATATCGCGCCCAAAAAAAGGTCGGCAAAGAATTGAGAGTTATAGTTATACAAAAAAAAAAAAGGGTTTTATAATATTGAAATAATGCAAAATGAGTATTAAAAAAAAAAAAGCACCAATTTGAGTGTCTAAAGCCGTATAACAAAATACAAAAAAAAAAATTCTAGGCCAAGGGGTCCTCACTAACTATAACAATATCACTATCATCACTATCATAATCGACATTACTAGTTAAACCAGATGTAGATGGCTTAGGACTATCAAGTTTAGTTGTAAGGCTGGGTCCACCATCAGATTCTTTCAATACCGTAGGTTTTGAACTATCAACTTTCAGTCTATCATTAACTTCTTCCTTCGGTTCATCAATTTCTAAATCGTCAGCGTCTATGATGGCTACTTTTTCGTGATCATCATCCAGTTTCATATTTGGTTCTTCTGTTAGTTGACTTTGTTTGGAAGTATCATCTTCTAATGTAGCATTTGGTTCTGTTTGCAAACATTTTGGATCTTTATCGCTTAGTATCGCGTCAGAATCTTCATCCATTTTATCAAGGTCAGGTTCTTCGTTATTTAATATTAAATTAGATTCTTTGGTCACTGCACTGTGTTTTAAGATGTCATTTAATGCCATATTTGTTTGCATTTCAATACATTTTGGATCTTTATCGCTCAGTATCGCGCTTGAATCGACGTCCATTTTATCAAGGTTAGGATCGTCGTTATTTAATATCAGATTACATTCATTGGTCACTTCACCAGGTTTTAAAATGTTGTCGTTTAATGTCGTATTCGTTTCAATACATTTTAGATCTCTATCGCTTTTTGTAATTTCAGGTTCTGCTTCCACTTCATGGCATCCAGAATCGTCCATTATCACGTCTAGTTTTTCTTTCAGTTCGCCATTGTCATCCAATGTAACATTTGAGTCTGTTTTCATTTCTACACATTTTGGATCTTTATCGTCCAATATTGACTGTGGTTCGACTTCCATTAATTCATGACATTTAATAAAATCTGCAGTTAATATCGCATCCGGCTGCTTTGTCAGTTCATTGTGTTTTAAAATGATGTCAGGCAAAATAGCAATTGGTTCTGCTTGTATTTCAGTGCGTTTTGGATCGTAATCATCTAATAGGGAATCGGATTCTTTTGTCTGTTTATCGGATTTTGAAATGTCGCCATCTAATCTCATAACTTGCTTTGTAGGCACCTCAAGACATTTTGGAACATTATCGCTCAATGTTGGTTTTGATCCTGAATGCATTTCAACACAAATCGATGATCCTAAATCGTTTTCATTTAATATTGTATCTGATTTTTTTTCTGTCAGTTCACTGTACTTAAAAATACCATCAAATCTCGTAACTGGGTCCGATTGCATTTCAATACATTTAGGTGCATCATCATTCGATATGTCATTTGGTCTTTCTTGCAGTCCAGCACTTTTTGGTACTTTCTCTTCTAATACCACATCTGATTCTTTTTCTAATTCACTAGATTTTGCATTGTTACATTTCAACATAATACTTGGTTCTGTAAATTCAATACATTTTGAATCATCATCGTCAAACATGTCATCTGAATCTTCGATTTGAATGCCGACGCATTTTGGATATTCACTATCTGAGACATCATCTGGTTTATCTTCAAAACTAGCACAGTTTGAACCATCTGATGACAGTATGGATATCATATCTTGTTTTTCTGTAAGGTTTTGTGGTATATCATTCAGTTCTTCTGCCAACTGACTACAATTTGAATTATCATCAGCCAATACAGCATCTAGTTTTTCTTTCTCTGTAACATGCATCGTACTATTGTCATCTAGTATAATAACTAGGTCTTTCACTGCACCATCTTCCAGTGTATCAACTGGCTCTTCTATTGACTCAACAAATTTTGAACTGTTGTCAACCAACATCATGACTGGTTCTTCTTTTGATCCACCACTTTTCAAACTGTCATCAGCCAAAATTGTAGTTGATCCTTCTTTTGATTCATCAATTTTAGAATTGCTTGCATCCAATGTAGCGTCTAAGTTTTTGTTTGTTATATCAGACTCTGTATCGCTTTCATTATACTTTGCAATATTCTTAAGTGATGTATTAAATGCAAAAACATTTTCAAATGCCGCACTTTGACGATTACCTTGAATTTCACTATTTAATTGATGTTGCAAGGCATAACATCCAATTGCCCAGTTGTTACTTTTACTATCCTCCGACCATTTCTGCAATAAAGCTTTTATATGTAACATCTCCTTTTCTCTACGGTTTTTTTTAACTAATTGTATATCAAAGGGTGTGCTTGCAGTAAGCTGTTTTAATTTATTAATGGCAAATTCAAATATTGGGCTACTTATGTTCAACTGTTTAGGTGGCCCGAAATCCATAAAGATTTTAAATAGCTCCAAACAAATTTGTTCCCCTGTATTTCGGCAGGTTATCGGACGCAGGTGAATAAAATCAGTGTAAACATCTTGGCAAACCATTATGGCCTTGAAACTATGGTCAAGTGAATTCATTGCAATGAGGTCTAGATGGCAACAGTAATATGGTTGGGCTACTGTCTGAGTGAAGCGAGCTTTACAAATGTAACAGTGTTTGCTTATTGCGTGAATTGCTTCTACAGGTACAAAATATTTGATTTGTATTATTTCAATGATGTCATCTGGTATATCATGATCATGTCTTAAGTGTATTGGCCACACTGTATCAAAAAGTCGTTCATACGGTAGCATCAATTTGTATACGTCGTTATGTTTCACCTTAATATTGAACATACCTCCGTGTGTTACGACTTTTAACTTACCATCATAAATATTTGTGTAGCTTTTGTCATTGTTCGATTTAATCCCTTCCTTCCATATATTTTTGATCAAATCCTGCTTGCTGGCCATACTTATTAGATATGGGTGGTCGTCGCTAGATTGGTTTAAACACATTTGTGCTAAAGCGTTTGTGTATTCAGTTTTCACTTTCTCGACATTTAGTTTGTTTTGGAAGATAGAGCTTTTTTTAAATTTTCCAACAGTAGATTCCATCATAAATAATATAATTTCTTGTACACTCACACAGTCACATTACAATCACTTTATTTGTTTTGATTTTCGGGGACCGAATAGGTTATTGTAGTTTCGATAGCAGCTGTCAGCTGACATTAAGACAACCAACTCAAAAGCATCAAGCATCCAAGACAGTAAGTAAAACAGTCGATTTGCTAGAGTAGGATGCAAAATCATCAAGTGATGAAGAAGACTACTAGTTTAGTAAAAGAGCAAGCGAGACAGAAGAACGTGTTCCTTTAGCATTTGTATGCCATGTTCAAAAATAACAATGGCCGCGTTCCGCGTTCTCTTGCAAATGTCAAAATCGTCAAATGTTAAATGTAAACAAACCCCAATGTTTTGTTTTGTTTAAAGTTCTTATTTATTCAAGTGCTAAACATATTAAATAGAATAGATAGTGGAAATGTAAGAAATATTTGACCAATGTACCTATTATATTTTCAACCAACTATGCGCAACTTTAAAAAGTTAACCAACATGAATCTATATATATACTCATACAAAATAATTGAAGTTAGATTTAGTTTATTTGAAAGAAGAACTAGCTGAAATAAAATGTATTTCGATGACTATAGTCCAACTTATGTAACCTTCTGCTCTTTACATTTTAAACCAGACAACTAAGAATTACTGTAGGAGTTTCTTATGATCATTCTAATTACCTACTAGTAAGTATCAATTTATTACATTGCAAGATTTTGACTGTAAAAATGTTACATTCTAAATGATTACTAGAGTTTTCTAACAATTTTATGTATTACAAGAAGGTGATATACCTACCAAAAAATATTAAATGTAACGCCACATTACATCAGTAATGTTATCAGTCCTATGATATAGTGACTAAACACAAATCTAGACTCCATGAGACTACTAAAAGATTTTAATGAATAAAATAAGATTTATACTACTGACTTAAATTTTAAATTAATTATTATGTTTTCAGTTTACTTACATAACTGTTTGACGAGTAACTTGACTAGTTTTAAACCATGCTAAAATATGAATGTAAGCCTCTAGCATGATCTGAAACTAATCTAGTTCTGAGAACTAGTATGTCTGATGAAAGTTATGATATAAACAGTTAATATTGAATAAAAAAATCATCAGCCGGAAATAGTACCTCCTCCTTTTTTTGAAGTTGTTAAAAAAGAAGTAGAACCCATAGTCTAGACGAATTCATCCACATCACTGTTTTCGGGCAATTCTTCCAGTAGACTGGCAGCATTACCACATTATTTATTTATTTATTATTACACACACAAGTTAACATCATAGGTTTAAGATTAAATGCGATAACAATGTATTATAAAATCTAGTGACATACCAGTGGCGTGCAGTCCATATAGGCGAAAAGGCATTGCCTACCTATAAATATCGTGAATATATAACATACATAAAAAAAAACAAACGCGTTTATTAAAATTCAATAATATAATAAAAGTTTGTAAAAAAACGGCTAACATAAATACGCGCCTTTGTAAAGTAATGAATGCGCCCCGCACGCACCACGCATGCGCCACTATTCCTTAAATCTTGGTTGGCAGTAGTGACGTCACATAAGAAATGTACCAAAAGTATGCACCGCGCATGCGTGAAGTTCACGACCATAGTCACGGTACAGAATAACCATTCATAATTATATTACGCGATTCCTGTTGATTGACAAAATGTTTGCAACTAAAAAATTAGAGGACCGTTCGTTCATCACTTGGAAAACGATCGTATTTTATTAAGAATTCTAAATACAATAAAACAACAACAAGTTATTGTATTTTTAAAAACAATTAAATCATAAAAGGATTTAAATTGATAAAATTTGTATGTATATCGTAAAGTACTGATGAATGGAGTACACCAGCGCCATCTATTGAATTTTTTGTTGAAACTTCTGAACTCGTTCGATATAATGCGAATGTATTTTTATAAATGCGTATTTAACAAATAT